CAGCTGCTCATCAATGGATGAATGGATAAACAAATTGCAATCTTCTATTCAGCAATAAAAGGAATGATATGGGGCTGGGGATGTGGCTCAAGCGGTGGCGCACTCGCCTGGCATGCTTGCGGCCCGGATTCGATCCTCGGCACCACATGCAAGCCGAAGACTGAAAAATAAATATTAAAAAATTCTCTCTCTCTCTCTCTCTCTCTCTCTCTCTCTCTCTCTCTCTCTCCTCTCTCACTTTCTCAAAAAAAAGGAATGATATGTTAATAACAACATAGGTGAACTTCAAAATAGTTATGAAGGAAAGAAATTAGGCAAAATAGCATACATAATTTATAATTCTATTTGTCTAAAATTCTACAAAATGGAAACTCTACTGACAGCAAATCACTGGTTGTCTGTTTCCTAGGTGTGGAAGATTAACTGGGAGGGAAATGAGAAAGATATTAGAGAGGCATGATTTTGCCCATTTGGAAGTGTGTGATTATTTATTTATTTATTTTTTAGTTTTTGATGGACCTTTATTTTATTTATTTGTATGTGATACTGAGAATCGAACCTAGTGCCTCACGCATGCTAGGCAAGTGTGCTACACTGAGGCACAACCCCAGCCCCTGATTGTTATGTTTATTATGTTGATTGTAGTAATGTTTCATAAATATATTTCTATATATATGTGTATATCAACACTTATATATTTCAACATTTTGCACACATACAATTATTACAGGTTAATTATGCCTCAGCCCAAAACTGATAATGGAGAAAGAAAACACAATCTGTATTTATTGGCTGGCTTTAGCCTAGAGCATTTGCCATTCTTTCTATTTAGATAATTTATACAAATATACATATTACTGCTAAGTTTCACAGTACCATACAATTATCATTTTGTAGATATCATTGGATCATCCTATTCTTAAGTTAGCTATTTAAGTAAGAGCTTTTTCTTTAAAAAGTCTTTTGTAAATAAATATGCAATTGACTTTTTCATTTTGTCTGTATCCCCAAAGTCTGTATTTTGTAATTAGTAAATTAATATGTACTTTTCAAGTAAAGACAAAGATAACATCAACGCAGTACATTTCATTTTATAAGGTGATTTCATTATAATGATGACAGTTCTTTTCTTAGTTGAACCCCATTTGACTTCATTATAAATACAAACCCATTCAGATTTGAAAAAGAATGAAGAACTTGAATAGATTCTGCAGGATGAATCATTGGTTATAAGAGCTAAGGGAGCAGGCCTTTGTTGATTCCTGGATTTTTCAGCCTGGATGGTAGGAGGAGTTGCAATGATATTAAAATAAATTACCAAGGCAAACTGAATTATATTTAAAGGAGGTAGGGGAAAGATGGTGATGAATCAGTTAATCAAATATATGAACTTTTATTGATTATTGTACAATCTAGTGAGTATAGATATGAATGACATTTATCTCATGTTGGTTTTTGTCTTATGGGTCTAAAGGTACATATGTAAGTAAAGTGAAATACAAAAAGGACCTAAAAAAGCAATTCATACTTGCTTTGTGTTTGAGGTTGAGTAAAAGGACCAGATATGTATTTTTACTCATAGTAGTGAAGGATATGGAAGGATCCATCACTACTATAAGTAAAAAAAAAAAACAAAACCTTTGCTTTTGGAGCATTATAAGGAAAGAAATGTTTGCTGTTAGTAATTCTTTTCATGACACATCTTACCCAATCAATTCTCCCATGAGACACATATGCACATAATCCACATGCTTGAGACTAGTCAAGCCTTGGCCTATTTGTCATCGTCTTCTTTCTTTTTTGTTCTCTAAAGTTTAGAGTAGTCAAGCAGAATCAAAATTCAAAGTCATTTCTATAGTAGTCTAAGGTAGACTTTTAGTTCTCAGTTGAATCAGCTTTATAAAGTAGATAGCATAATAAGGAAATGCTTTAGTTCTATTGTAAGAGATCCATATGTTTAATCTCAGTTCACTAAAAGATATAAGATGACATGTAAAATTGAAATTAGAAATTGGACATGATTTTAGAGTCTTTCTTATGTGGAAAGGTGATACCATAATTTTTCTCTTCCCTAGGTAAGAGAAGGAGGGTCTCAGTAGTAAAATGGGAACCTGTAAGTGGGAACCACTACTTACTTAGGTTGTGTATTGTGATGTTATCAATACTTGGGTCTGGTATATGATCATGCAGCAATTATGAACTGCTATTGTCAGCTGATGGAGTGTGTGATAAGACTGTTTTCTTTACACATACTCTCCCCCCCAGAGCTCTTCTGAAAGAACCATTGTTGTTCATTTTTGACTTCTTTATCCGTAATAGCATGCTGAAAAGCTTATGGATTTTGGGATTTCAACAAATGTAGGTCTGAATTTTAGCTACAACATTTGATAGCTATAAAACTTGGAAAAGTTACCTAATTGTCTCTGCATATTATTTTCTTCTTTTTCAATACCTCCATCATCTGATGTCTTAGTTGAAATAACATAAAAATCTGTAAAGCCTGTAATACCTGAGGCACAATAGCCATTTCATAAAAGTTAGCTCTTTCTGTATTCCACATCCTACATAGCTATACTCTCAGGTGTCAGAGCAACTACTCCAAGATCTAGTCAAAGCATCTTGGATTAAAATTGCTTGATGCTTACTGATGTATTTTCCAGCACTCTTGTTTATTATGCTGTATATCATTTCACAAGTATATCATACAGGCATCGCTGGAATCCTTTAATTACTCACCAGTAGTATGCTTTTATCCAATCTCTTGACTCTCACCACACATATGTGTTTTTGTGTACTGCATGTACACACACACAGCAGTACTCATGAAATCTCCAAGGTAATGTCAACTAAGTTTGCTCTTTAGTTTCTTCCTATTATGTTTACCAAGAATGACTTTAAAAATTCCCAAACAATTAATGGAGAGTTTAGGAGCCAAAATAATATTGATTTGCAATCTCTAATCCATTTAAATTTATTGTATTTTGGATATATTTGCAAATGAATAATGAATCCATTACCATAGACAGTTTTCTATTAAAACATTTATGAGATAGAATCTGTAATAGGCTGAATAATGGCTCCCAAATATATCTAGTCTTGATTTTTGGAAAACGTGAATATTACCTTATATGGTAAAAGAGTCCTTTTTTTAAAAAAAATTTTTTAGTTGTAGTTGGACACAATACCTTTATTTTTATTTACTTTTATGTGGTGCTGAGGATTGAACTCAGTGCCTTCTACGTGCCAGGTAAGCGCTCTAGGTAAGCGCTCTACCACTGAGCCACAACACCAGCCCACCTCCTTTTTTTTTTTTTTTTTTACTTAGGTATTTCTTCATATTTTTTTGATATTGGTTCTTTTTAGTTATACATGACAGTGGAATCCATTTTGACTAATTATACAAGCATGGAATATATCTTGTACAAAAGGCCTTGCAGATGTAATTTAAAATTCTGAATTATTTGGGTGGGCACTAAATATAATTGCAAGTGTCCTTAGAAGAAGGAGGCAAAGGGAGAGTAGACTACTGAAGACAGAAGAAGATGCTGAACTGATGGCTTCAAAGGTGTAGGAAGGGGCCAGGAGAGAGGCAGCACTGAACACCAGCAGCCTTTAGAGCTGGGAGAGGCAGGATTCTCCCAAGGAACCTCCAGGGGAAGTAGCCTTGTTGATACCTTGACTTTAGCCCATTGAAACTGGTTTTGGATTTCTGACCTCCAGGACTGAAATGAAATGAAGTTGTATTGTTTTAAGCTACCAAGTTTGTAATAATTATTTACAGCTGCAAAGGAAACTAATATGAAATCTAAATGGTACCTGTTGAAAATAATGTAAGCTTTAGTTCCTTAATATAATGTTAAATAAGAACAATATGTATGTAGTCATTTGCCCTTTATTCTCTACTCATGACATCAAGTCATTAAAGTATGACCTCTATCCTTATGAGTTCTGTCATTTCCATCACTTGTCACCAACTTTATTATGAAACCATTTGGAAAGGAAGGCTGCGATTGTTGAATTTCAAATTTTTTAGTGAGTCCCACTCAGTTGAATCAGGCTTGCAAGCATTATTTTATGATGGAGACAGCTTATCTAATTGTGACAGCTGCAAGAAACTTGGTTCTGACAGGTTCAGACCCCCACATTAACCTCCACATCTCTTACAGAAGTTTTGATAAGTGACAGTCTGTCTCAGTGATTGCCCATTCAGCTCACTGTTCTTAAGGTGAATGATTCACAGCTGTATATGGATTCTCTTTTGACAGTTTTCCCACACATGCATTCCATTTCTGAGTCAGTGTGATAAGGACATCTAAACAGAAAATAACTAAATTTTTTCTCTAACAATATAGTTATAATTGTAAAGCAAGAAAGTCTCTCAGAACTGGTAGGTGGAAAGTCAAATGGCTAGTGCTGCCTACCTAGTTGTCATACCACTTTTTTTCTGCTCCTGTAATTCTACTTCCCCGCTGCCTTTTCTTCCTGTACAATAATGTGTGTTCTGTAAGCTTCATCATTTTGCCACCCACAGATCACCTTCTATTCTAGATTAAAAGCAAGGGAAATTTCCTTTCCATTTACCCAGAAACTAGAGTTTGTTAAATATTTAATGTGTTAGAATTAGAATGTACACTTTTTAGAGGGTTAAAAACTTGAATTTTTTTCTTCTACTCTTACATATTATTAAATAGAAGACTTCTGTTATGTATTACCTCTTATGACTTTTCCCTGTAAAATACTGAAGTGACTATTACTTTACCTTTTGGGTGACATTTGATTGACACCACTAAAAATAGTAACTTGTTTAAATTCTTTAGTGTTTGAGAGATAATTTTATGACTTCTGGATGATGTAGGCCATAAGGAAGTCAGCTGAGGTTGCAGTGCTGTAGTGGTTTCAATCTATCTGACCAAGTGATAACATACATACCAGGGACTGATTTCATACCTCTGTGAAAAACAGAAATCTACAGACTTTGTTTTCAGTGTATTCTGATTAGATTCTTTATTAATCTATTGCTATATGGCAGCATTATCACAAATTTAGTGGTATAAACAAAAATATATTTTTTCACTGTTTTGTGATTAAAAAATCCATGTTTGGCTTGGGTTTTCTGCTTCAGATTCTTTCAACAAGACTCCAGTCAAGGTTTCAGCCACGGATGGAGCTCATCTGTAGCTCAACTGGGGAAGGATCTACTTCTAAGCTCATGTGGTTGTTGGCAGGATTCAATTCCTTGTGGGTTATTATCTGAGAGCCTTGATTCCTTGCTGGCTGGTCCTTAGTTCCTTGTTTGAGGAGACTTTCCTCAGTTGGTGGTCACATGCACTTCTTCACAGGACAGCTAACTCCATCAATTTCAGAAAGGGAGAGAATCAACAGAGAGAGTCTGTTAGTAAGATGGAAGTTGGAATCTTATGTAAAACAATCATATAAGGAACTTGTCATCATCTTTACCAAGTTCTGTTAGATAGAAGCAAATCTCAGATCCTGCCTATGTTCGGGAAAAGGATTACACAAAGCCACCCATACCAGAAGGCAGGGATAATTGGGAATCATCTCAGAATTTGTCTGCCACAAGTTCCCTTAAAAAAGAAGTAGAAAGAGATTACTGAATATTTTTCCTTTTTTTTTAAAAGCATATTCAGTCATGGGAGGAATTGATACTTTAAATTTAGGCAAATTATATAATACCATATGAAAAGGAATAATAATCTTAATTATGCCTGACAGGATGGAAGTGATTATTTGTAGGACAAAAGTTTGTTATATTTGCAGATCTCTTAATACATAAGACCTTTATCTGACATATTTTCTTCTTCACAACAGCTTTGTGAGGGAGGTAAGGCATGATAGAGAAGTAGATTATCCTGGTAACAAATTTAGTAACTGCTTGGGTGGGGAATCAAATTTGATGCCTTCATGCCATAATTTTTCTTTTGGATTTTTTGGAAGGCAATGAGTTTGCCATGAAGTTCAGCAAACAGGTGAGGCAGGATTTTTCAACCCTTTTGCCATAGCACAGTTGTAGAATACTTTTTATATCTTAGTTTGGGTCAAAGTTATAAGTTTTAAAGGATTTTATTACTAAAAATATTAAATATTTCTGTAACATTTGTATTTTAAAAAGTGACCCCTGTTCATCTTTCCCTCTCCCTTCCTCATTCCACCTCTTTTATCTGATTATTCATGTATTTATCTTTATAAAAAAAGTTTGTTTTGCTTCCTCTTAATTTTTCATCTTTATGTATCATCTATTGGTGTCCTACTAAGGGAGATGAGATTCACAACACCATAGCAGCATACCCCCAAGCACACATATGTGAACATATGTACTCTGTTACAATCCTTCCAATATATTGTCTACTTTGGGTTATTATATCAGTCTTCTCTATGTACTTTTTATGTTTGTTGACAGACATCATAATGTAACTAATCAGACTCTTAATTCCTTTTCCTTTCCATTACCATTCTCTAGAGTTTAACATTGTCTTTACTTCTTCTGATTAATTTTCTATTTTTATATAGTCAATCCAATTCCAAAATTTTTTTTAACATGTTTGGGTCTAATAGGTATTCTATACATTTCATATCTCTGCATAAACTTATTTGAACTTTTCTATTTATTCAAATCTAAATGGATTATCTTCTGTGCAGGTATCAATACTGGAACTCACTTCAATATCATTTGGAGCTTTCTGTTGCCCCTCTTCTATGTTGGTTATGCTTTCTGTATTTCATGACTTATTTTGTTTTGTGGTGCACATTTCCTGAAAATGTCTTTATTATCTTCTTCTCCCTTAATTGATATTAAGACTGGGTGTGGAATTCTAGAGTTTGAAATAAATTATTTTTAGGAATTGAAAGTATTTACCATGTTATCTACTAGATAGCATGGTCACTGCAACCTTTACTTTAGGTTGATTCGATTTGGCTTTTAGTTGGGAAAGAAGCGTTAATGTTAACATGTTTTGATGTTTCCTCTTGATGTGGAAATCCTTCCTTCAAGCTCCTTATGAGATGTTCCTGAAACCTCAGGAACATCTCATAAGGACCTCTTATGAAAAGAGGATACAAGGATGGTATACTTCTTCTTTCTCAATCACCCTATTTCCAGTATATTACTGTTTCTTAAACTGTGTTTGATTTAGATAACTATTTTACTCTCCCCAAGAAAAAAACCCTTACTCTTTGCCAAGATTGATGGAGGGATAGTCATCAGGGTATAAAGAATATGGAGGGCATATGGGAATCTGAATGCTTACAAAACACACTTTGAAATAATTCATATTTGCCTTTTTATTCACCTCTGCTGTCAGATATATCTGCTATGAAATTCATGCCTCTTCTGTAGTATTATCAGGTTGATTTTTAGTGTTTTCTATGGCTTGCTTTGGGTTTGGTTCTTGAGTAAGCTTAGAATGTTAGAATGTAGATTCTTCTCTTATTAAGCTTGTCTTTGTGGTTATGCTTTTAAAAATTCATTTATATAACTTAATGAAATTTGAAGAGGAAGGGAATGAAGACATCTATGTGTGTTCAGTCTGCCAATTTTTTTTTTCCTATAACGCCTTGGGGAAATTCCTCTAACTTGATCAAATATGCACTAGCCTTCTAGAGGTTTAGCTGGATAACTACCAGACAACTTCTCAGCTCCTACTTTTTTTGACCTGGCTTGGGGATTACAGTCTTAACCTGAAGAACCTTGTTTCCTGATGAGAGGAGGCAAAATTGAAAAATGATTCAGCTTCATTTTTAAAAAGGGCATAGTTCCCATTAGAAATATATCTATCTATCTGTAACTATTACGTGCATTCCTATAAGTCAGGAAAGTTTGTGTATAAATGTTGAAGTGTTCTAGGTAAGTTAGTTTCCCCTGGAGATACTCATCTACTCATCTCATTCTGTTTTTTTTTAAATCTAAATCAAATTCTATGCTTGTTCCACATGAACATTCCAATCATCCTTCCTCATCTGATTCTCAGAAACTATGCAGGGCATCCATCTGCCTAGATATAGAAAGCCAAATCATCCTTCACAGAGGACTTTCCTTACTACTGTTTTTATGCATCCCCAGCCTCCAACCCACTTCTCAGAGAACTGGGCTGATTATGTTCATACTTTCTGTTCTTATTTACACATTTTATTTTGTGTTATTTAACTTCTATTTAGGAAAAAATTATGAAATTCATGCCTACAGCAAAATCAACCTTGAAGTTAATTCTTTTAAGATCCAAACTATGTTGCTGATTTTAGTAATCAGATTATTCTTGAACCACTATGCTTTGTAATTCAAATGTTAATATAAATATGACATATATAATGGCTGTTATTCAGAGACATCATGAAAATAATAGGTATGTAATACCTTATCCTCAAAACCAAATTTAAAATATTCCTATTTTAGATTTCTTATGCAATTTATTAAACTTTTGTGGTACACTTAAACTATTTCAGGCTTTGTGTTACAAAGATGTGGCCTCATCAACATTATGGTATATTGAGGAGACACATTTGTAAAGAAATTATTGTAAACAGGATTATGGGAGAAATACAGAAATATGTCCTGAGAACAGAGAATAAAACACATAATGACTGAATCTCCCAGAGAATACACCAGAAGTGGTGACTGAACTGAGTTTAAATGAAGAGGAGGATTATGACACATGAAGAGGAATGAGGGGTGGGAATAGCATATGTAAAGACATGAGTCATGAACAAGATAATATGTTTCAAGAATATTGAAGCATAAAGAAGGGAGATACCCATAACACATATCGGATGTAAGTCAAAATATAGAAACATTTTGCAAACAGCAATGGAAGACAGTTAATTCAGTTTCTTTAAAAAAGATTATAAGCACTCAACATATTAGAGATGATGTTGCATTTACTATTGCAAATAATCATGCTTAATCTCATAGATCAACATATCTTCTCGCTTTTGTTGTGTAACATACCATCCTAAACTTTGTGTCTCAAAACAACAACCAAATCAAAGCTCACTGTGTGCCATTTGTCCATCTAGGTTAGGATCAACTGGGTAGTTTTCTGGTGTGGGTTGGCCTAACCGATCTTGGCTGACCTTTTTCATGTGACTGCAGCCAACTTTTTTTGTCAATGAGGACTGCCAGATTAATGATGAATTCAGCTGAGCAGATTTGGTGCATATATAACTCACATGATTTTGAACTCTCTAGCAGACTGGCCAGGGATGGCTCATGTATCATCTCAGATGATGAGAGGGTGAAGATGTCTGGAAGTATCCAAGAGGCCTGGACTTTAAAATAACACAACATTGCTTTCACTATAGAACTTGGCCAAAACATGCCCAAGACTAATACACGTTCAAGGGTAGAGAAATTAACTCTGTGTCTTGGTAAGAGTAGCACCAAAGGACTTTTGTAATCTACTATGACCATATTAGTGGATATCTGTGGCTTTCTTTGTATAGTAATAGAAAATTCTTTACCTTCTTTTCCATTTGCTTATAAATAAAAACATCAACATTTAGATCTTACTTAAAATGATTAACCTCTTGATCATCCAGGATCATCTAGGTTTTAGTTCTGAAAGTCTTGTATCCCAAGAAACTTCTTAGTCTCAGACAAACCAGGACAGTTTGTACATCTTTTGTCTTGTCAACAATGGAATTTTTCAGTTTGTCCTACTTAGAGTCAGATCACTCTGAATTATTTTCAGGAATTTCAAAACTGGAATTGAGAGTAAGTGTTTATAAAGGCTAAAGAAACTTTGAGATCCAAAACTTAGATGTTTTATGTTTGTTTTTCTTAACTTGTGAAAACAGAAAACATATAGTAAGAGGGTGAAATCTAAATTTTAGAAGAAGGAGCATATCTGTTTATGGTTCATTTTTGTTGAGACTTATCTATATTCTGTTGTTTAGCCATTTGCTGGATTCTGAGAGATAATAAATTCCAGTTTATGGCTAAGCTATTTGTATTATATTATTGACACTTGCATTCTCATTTTTGTTACTTTCGACCCCATAGTGTCTTCACTGATAATAGAATTAAAACTACAACATGTTTCTTGGGACTCAAGACAACATGCCCACCAAAGCTCAGGTTTATAAGAAATACTTAGAATAGTAGCATTTTTATGTATCTTACATTCCTTATAATATATTGCAAGTGAAAGATATGCATTAGTTCAGATGGAAGACTGTTCTGAAGCCATTGAGCAAAGCTTCCTCCTTCTAGCCAATGATCTGAGCCTCTCAAGGGCAATCACATGTTTTAATGAATCACAGAAGACAAATTTAGCTTCAGTTTAAGGAGCTGTATGTCCTGGCAACGAGAGTGGGAGTACATTGGAAATAACA